ACACATATTTTTTCTAAATTGGTCTCATTTGATTCTGTTTTTACCAAAACGTCGAGAAAACAAAATTGATCAGAAAAGTATAAAATATTTGGTCTACGTTTTAGCCTACAATTATTAATCGATTTTAAAAATTCAAAAACTATTGGAAAAAAATATTGATTGGGATACACGTTGATCAGGTTTTGGTGGAAGCCAGGTCGTTTTTTTGTAATTAAATGTTTAACATACTAAATGAATTATTATAATGTTTCATCGATGTTTATAAATTTGCTGCGAACTTGAACAGATTCTAATAAGAATCTGTGCCGAAGCTTATGTACGTTTATGGTGTGTCGTATGTAGCTACTGGTTACAGTTGACGTCTACACCTAAATAAAATACATTTTTAGAACACTACATAGATAAAATAAAATACAAAACAAATTAATTTTATGTATAGATACAATCACAGATATGTAAGTATATGTTTGAAAAACATCAAGTAAAATCAAATTACTTTTCAGTGAGAGCTATTTGAAAAAGCTATTTTGACATATACAGTTAAATATTTTATTAATATTATTAATTAATTTACTTATTCATTAAGTAAATTATGTTATAGGTACAGGAAAGTTCGTGGAACTTGCCTTAAGGTAAAATGCTACATACAACAATTTCATTTTTTTTATTGAAGTTAAAAGAACGAGAAAGTCTTAACCTAGTTCCAGTTAACAGAAAAACAGAGCAGGTTTATCGTGGTAAAACAGCTATATTAACTGAAAATAATTGAAATTTCAAAAAAATCTTTTGTACACATATTTTTGAACATTTAAACTTTGAAAATGTGCGAAAAACAGAATCTAATTTTTTTAATTTTATACCAAATACCTTTTTCATTTGGTTCCTCAAAATTAAATCGTATATCCTTTCTGGTCTTTAATTTTAACATATATCTCGTTTATCGAATATTTAACTTTTTTTTTAATTTCAGACCGTGGTTCGTGAAATGAATCGCCTGGGCATGATAGTTGACCTCTCGCACGTGTCCTCCAGAACGGCAAGGGACGCCATCGGGGTCTCTAAGGCCCCCGTAATTTTCTCACATTCTTCCGCTCACGCACTTTGCAATTCCTCAAGGAACGTACAGGATTCAATGCTGAAAAAGTAAGTATAGTTCAGAGTTTTTCTACACATTTACATCGATGTCATGATATATATTCACAGATTGTAAAGGTAATCAAATTCAGTATTTGTCAACTAATTTCATGAAATACGTGATACCTAAAGCAATTTAATCAACTAATTCCCGAAATAATGTTTCTTTTTTCAAATTCGTTAACAAAATGTGAGTACTAAACTAAATTCCCATTTCTCGTATCTCTAAAGTTTGTAACGTGTGTGAAAGAAAACAAACATATTTTCATGCTATTATTATACCTATAATCTATAACCAACAAATCTCGACTGAAGTTTTAGAGCATTTGTTTATTCTATAAAGTAATAATCGCATTTAATTTGATACTATGTGTACAAAAACAACATTTTGCATGTAGCATAATTATATAACTTTGCAACAACAAAATTTCATAAAATATACCAATCATCAATTAAAACACGCTTTTCAATATCACTCTAATAGTAGTCTTTAAAATCATATACAATACACTGAGTAAATACTAATCATATACTGTAAATTTAGTTAAGAATTGGAAATGATAATAACGTTATACCTATAACGATGTTTATAAGAGTTTTGTTTGACTACACTAGTATTTCATTACTAGTAGTACGAAATTTAATCACTTTTTCAAGAAGAGTAATTTTAAACATTGTTCAAATACTCGCTCACAAAAAACTGCCATGCAAATTTCGCATTTCATAATTGCCATTTAAAATTTTTAAAAGTATATAAAAAATCATAATTATAAAGAGAGAATGAAATTGATTCTTAGAAGATAATATTGAAATTTAAAGTGAAAGTTGCCAATCATTAGCAAACAATGTTAATTTGGGCTGAGTAAGTGGAGTCATAGTTTATATGCAGGTTTTGAATAATTTGATGAACTCAGGTATTTATACAGTATGATTATTATTAACTTCCCGAAGCAGATGTTTGTTTTTATAAAAAAAAAACGATTCGCTAATTTTATGTTTTCTCGACGTTTCATGCCATTCTGAATCGAATGAGATCAAATTTGGAAAAACTATATGTGTGTCTCACGGGGCCGTTTTTTGTAATAAAGTATTCAATTTTTTTTATTTTTATGATGTTTTTTTACGGTAGATGCCATAGTATTATAGATCATACTAAAATATTACAGGCCTACGATAAGTCGTTCAATTTTAAAAATTATTCAAAGTTTACAAGAATTAGTATCGTTTTTTTTTGGGATAGACCTTTCATCGACGTTTGCTCAAAAACGCCTGAACCTATTTCAGAAATTTAAAAGCCATTTGATGTATCTCGATGGAGATCATCGTTTCTCAGTTTTGTGCGACGATCGTGTCAGCCATTTCTTTGTAATTTGGAAAAAAAAGTGTTAAGCTTTTCGTGCACATTTAAGGTCATACTACCGAATCGATTTAAAAAAATCAAAAACTGTTCGAAAGATAATAGTTGGGAATGATACTGATTAATTTTAGGTGAAAATCTACTGAGCCGTTTTCTTGTAATTAAGTGTTGAAAAAAAAATTTAAACCGATTATTATGGAACTTTTTTTGGCGATATTTGGTCTTATAGAATTTACTGAAATATTACGGCCGTACGACAAGTAATTTAATTTTAAAAATTCATCAAAGCTTGAAAAAATGAGTAGTTTTTTTTTTGACGTTTGTTAAATTTAAAATTAGACGATTTACTTGCTATAACGATAAAGTACTTGGTCTTAATGAACATACGAAACCATTAAAGTCATATGGAAACTGGTTCAATTATAAAAATTGATTTGTGAAAATTTGCTTTTAGAAAATACTCCGAGTTAACGTGTTCGTTCGTTTTCAAATATGTGTAATAAATCCACTCAGAATACTTTTAATCACTTATAAATTAAATTATTTTTTATTGATTAAGTCGATTATTTACACTTATCGGGAAGTTGATGTAACTTGCTTCAAGGCAAAATGCCAATACCAACTAGTTACAATTTTTGTTGGGTCTATAATAGTATTACCTGTAGACCACATGTCTATAATACCCTGCAAATAACTCTTTTAGTTATGTGTCACGTAAATCTGTCAAGTCAATTAAATTTCCATGTCCTCCTGGGCAAAATTTCGACCATCGATTTCTCAAACAATATGCAATAAATTCAAACGGTAACAGTTTCCAAAGTAGCTGTTCTATGTTTTACCAAGGCGCAAAAACCAGAACGACATTTCCCATTAGAACTAGTCTTCCGAAATCGTGGCACGTAAACGCTGAATAAGTGATATTTTGGATATATGCTTTCTATAATCTCGATTTTCTTATTTTCTCGTTAAACGTTTTGGGTCGAGCCAGAGGACCATGATAAAATGAAATCATTTCAAATTTATTGAATAATTGAGAATTGCTATAGGATCTTCGATAATGCAATTGTTCCTTCCAAGAGAAGTGAGAAGTATTAGTAAACTACCCGTAGGGTAAGTTATAGTAATCGCAAAAATGAAAATTTGTATATCTTTACGTTTCAAAGGTTTTTGAGCAATTTGGCATACCTTAGAAAAAATGGATGTATGTGTATGTGTGTGTGTGTGCGTATACATATTTTCGTCGACGATTTCGGGAACATAGATCAACCGATTTAAATAATTCAAAAAAACATTTGATTCGTATTGATAAGGAGACGTGCTGATTAGTTTTTGGTGAAGGCAGATCTAGTCGTTCCGAAGATACGGGTCAAAAAGTGCCAAAAACGGTAACTCAGTTTTTAAGAAAACTGGGCGTCCGATTTCAATCATTCAAATAACATTTTACTTGTATTGACAAAATGAAGAACTGATTGAATTTTTGGGAAGGCAGGTCCTGCGGTTATGGACTCTCATTAAAAATAAGTTAGAATAATGTCATTTGGGAGTCAAAAATTTGGACATATGTACGACATTTGGACAGATATTTTAATAATGTGTATACATTTTGTGTATTTATTTTTGGGAATTCCGTACCAAGGTTTTTAATTATGATACGTTAAGTTTCAGCAATTTGCATTAAGGCACAATGCCATACACCCCACTAGTTTGATATTTATTTTTTACATTCGAAGATTGATTGTATTTAGCCAGGCAAAATCTCATTGGTGCATGGTACCGTGTCTTAAGGGAAATTGCTGGTTCTTCCCGTAAAATTTCGAAGGGAATAAAATCAATAATCAATAAATATTTATCAATGATTAATAACCATTGTCGTAACAACCCTTTCGACTCAGATGCCGCCGGCGGCAAAATACGTACAAATCTCGCAATACGCGAGTAGAAAGGGTTATCTATTTTCTAATAATAATAAATAAAATTGTAAATGCTATATATTTTATCGTTCACATAATATACAATGACGATCTTATCGCACAAAACCCTTAAGAATGTTTACATTAACAAGAGATGCCGAATGAATCTATCTGAGGTTATATTTAGAATATCACATGTACATTTAAAAATTGAATTGTAAATTTAAAATTTATATTTGGAATATAAAACTCTGTGTATTTCTGAAAATTTGAAAAAAAAATCTGAAAATTTTGCAATTTGTTTGAACCGTATAAGTGAACTTTGAAACCTAAAAATCTTGGTACCGAACCCAGAAAAAATGTAACAATACTAGTACTCATTTTTAAAATATGAATAAAATAGCTGATAATTTGATGTGCATATGTCTAAAAAATCATTTTGTCCGTCAAATATCTTCATTTTTTTGTCTTCCCAAAAATTTCAACCCATTCTTCATTTTGTCAAAAGAAGTAAATTCCATCAATGGAAATCGATTGTTTTTTCATCATGCAGTAGCGATGACTATTTTCACTTGAAAATATAGATCAAAAATATGTTTTCAATTGATAATATTTCATTTCGGGCACTGCGGTGTGCAATGGCTATGGAAAATCAATGGAAATGGAAATGCAAAAGTTGGCATTGGCCTCAGTAGTGTGTGTTAGATATTTATCAAAAATATTCTTTACAAAAATATTTCATGACGTTTACGCACAAGCAATCTAAACTAGCTGTAAGTGGAATTCTGTCTTGAGGCAATTATGGCATCGTGCCTTATGGCAAATTGCTGGAACTTCCCGTACCGTAACGAAATGTTCGAGGAATACTGAATGTTTTCAAATAGATTATTATAAATATTGTAACATTGTCTAATATTTATAAGAATTATATAAACTGAATTGCAGAGTTGAAACTATTTATAAAGTATATTAGAACTATAGTCAGAATTAAAAATAAAATCTGAAATTTTTTCGATATACAAAAAATTAAAAAAAAAAAAAAAATGGAACAAATTTTTTTTTCCAAAATTAATTATTTTGTTAAGACAAGCAGAAAGTTCTTTGAATTATTTAAATCGAACGCTTAGTTCTCTTAAAAACTGCCATTTTTTACATATTTAGCTCCGTATCTTCAAAATGGCTGGGCCTGCCTTTGCCAAAAACTAATAAACACTTCTCCCAATCATTACTAATTGAATGTTTTTTAGATCATTCAAATCGGATACTCCGTTCTTTCAAAAATTCGATTTCTATTTTCTGCACTCTTTGCACCGTATCTCCGAAACGGCTGGACCTGTTACCAAAAACTAATTACCTCTTTTCCCTATCAATAGGAATCGAATGTTTTTTGAACCATTCAAGTCGGTTGATCCGTGCGCCCTAAAACGTGACTGGAAATTTGTATCCATACACACACACACACACACACATCCATTTTTTCTGAGGTATGCCAAAACGTTCGGAAACCTTCAAAACGTCGAGAAATGTAAAAATTTTCAATTCCGATTTTCGGCCCATTACAATAACTTACCCTACGGGAAGTTAATTTGGATAAAAATGACAATTTTCAGAGTTTGAAATAATTGAAGCTATATAAATTTAAAAAAATAGTTTTTAATAGTTTCTGAAGAGTTCTCATATCCAAAAAATATTTTTTTTTGTAGATTTTTTGTACCTCATAAAATTGATCTGCATAAATATCTAACTTTTTATTTTAACCTTTTTTCATTTTATGTTCAATTTATTGTATTTTTTTGCATTTGTTCTTTTTGTGCACATATCAATTTCTTAAATAAAATATTAAAGTCTTTATTAACAAAAAAAAATTATAACAAAAAAAATATATCTAACATCCTGAGCAAATATAATTAAATGCTTTCAGATTGCGGCCAATAATGGAATTGTCATGGTCAACTTCTATTCAAAATTTTTGACTTGCAAGGATGAATCCACCGTCGACGATGCCGTCGGTAAGCTTTCAACACCTTGAATGTCTTTAAACCCATAGTTTTCTTTAATACTTTTTTATAGAGCTTATTAAAATATCGCATGCCGTTTTCAATGGCTTCTATATTGTATCATCATTTAATACGTGCCACAATGTTTCATTTTGATGGTGCAGTTAGAAGTTGAGTATTTTTACGACATATGTATTAAAGTTGTCGCTATTTTAGCTCACATCAACCATATACGACAAGTGGCTGGAGTGGACCACGTCGGGCTGGGAGCAGGTTATGACGGCATTAACTTGTGAGTAAAATAGTTTGCTGCTAAAATTTTTTTTGTTTATATATATATATATATATATATATATATATATATATATATGATAAAAATTGTTTTCTTGGGCATCCATCCAATAATTAAAAAAACAGTTTTAATGCAAAATGTTTTAATTAAGAGAACATACGTTTCGGGTCCAGATTTGACCCATCTTCAGTGCATACAAATAAATTTTAAAAAATATAACACAAAGAACAACACAAAAATGCAACGAAAAAATAAGTATGAAATAAAAAATTGAAAAAACATCAAGTTATGAAAATTTTTTGAAAATTGTAAAATTAAAATAAATAATATGTTTTATTGTAAAAAAGCTTATTACAAAACACATCTTGTTAGTTTGGAGACAGAGTTACGTGTCAACGTAACTGACACGTAACTCTGTCTCCAAACTAACAAGATGTGTTTTTGTAATAAGCTTTTTTACAATAAAACATATTATTTATTTTAATTTTTACAATTTTCAAAAAATTTTCATAACTTGATGTTTTTTCAATTTTTTATTTCATACTTATTTTTTCGTTGCATTTTTGTGTTGTTCTTTGTGTTATATTTTTTTAAAATTTATTTGTATGCACTGAAGATGGGTCAAATCTGGACCCGAAACGTATGTTCTCTTAATTAAAACATTTTGCATTAAAACTGTTTTTTTAATTATTGGATGGATGCCCAAGAAACAATTTTTATCATATTATTTCACCATCTGAAGAAAAACCTCTCGCTTTATATATATATATATATATATATATATATATATATATAATATAATATAATAGGGTGGTCCTTAATATGGGTATTTTCGAATTTCCTTACTCTCAGGGGTCAAATGCTTCCAAATTTATAACAAACAATTCTCTGACAGCTCTTAATATTAACTTTAAGATAGTCCGCACTCAAACCGAAGTTTCTTATGGTAATAACAAAGCTAAAATTCAATTTGTTTTTTAGAATTTTATAAATTAACAAGTGAATCAAACACTAGAATCAAACACTAGAATAACATTGTATTTGCTTATCTTTATCATAAATAAAAAGAACTACAACAAAAATTTGATATATTTTATATAATAAGTATTTACTTAGGAAGTACTTAGGAAGTACCAAGAAACTTCGGTTGGAGTGCGGATTATCTGGAATTTAATATTAGGAGCTAAAACTTTCAAAGAAATATTTTTTATTATTTTGGAAGCATTTATTCTGATTAAGGACCACCCTATATATATATATATATATATATATATATATATATATATATCGCATTTATATATAGCATATCGCATTTTACTAATAGTTTACTTCACTAAACTATTTAACAATACAAAAAATATTTTTGCTTATTAAAAAAATGATTTAGAATTTTGTTTCATGTGTTAAAAATTCATTTGTTTGGAATTAGTTATGGAATATTTAGCAAGTTGATCTTAGATTGAAAAGTGCTCATATGAACTAGATTTTACAAATTAATTCACCTAATATTTGAATATAAACAAAGGAAAATGTACTTAAGAAATTATAATTGCCAAAAAGCAACTAATATGTTGTACGAGATTATGAAAATTATAGACTACTGCAGATACTATATTATTTTTTTCTGAATTACTTATACTGCTTGAATTTCTTATACATCAAATAGGATTAAGAAGTATAGTATAGCATATTAAAAATTTTGGAACAGAGAAGTGATTCGAATCCCGGTTCATTTATTCATATCCTTTGAAGCATTTCTAAATTATTTAAGAAAAAATCTAAAATAATTTTTTTCATATTCTGCCATAATTCTTAAATATAAACCAAAAATCTTTTTTACCTGCAAATAGAAACGATGTATAAAAGTTCGGGAAGATTTTGTAAAAAATAATAATAAAAAAATATTGCAAAGTTTTTATCAACTTAATTCTATAATATTGTCGATTTCAAATCACCCAAACAATGCAACATAATCTAAAATTAATGTTTTTGTTAGAAAAGTAGCTCAAATCTCTGTTGATTTTTTTTTTCTGTTTGCTCCTTGACATCTGTATATTTTACATAGAGTAAGAGACACAAATCCGAAATGTCTAAAATGGCTGATAAAATTATAAATGATAAAAATACGTATTCATTGGCATATTTAGCATGGCATGAGCTTTAAACTTAATGATTTAGGTACTGTATATAAAATTTGTACAGAAAGGACACAACAAAGAAATTGTGTAATTTTTTAACATGTAACATCTTCTAATCTTTCACAAAAATTGCATTTTAAAAACTTATTTTTATTAATTTTAGCACTCCTGTTGGACTCCAGGATGTATCATCTTATCCATTATTATTTGCCGAATTATTGGGAGCAGGCTGGACGGATCACGAACTTACAAAACTTGCTGGAGAAAATTTTCTACGTGTTATGAGTAAGTCATTATTGTAAATTATGAATAAACCGATGAAATGCAGATTTATTTCATATTTCATGCATTGCATTGAGAGAATTCATACTTGTTACTTAGGAGTTGAGCATGTAACAAATGTTAACTAGTTGCAATTAGATGTGCAATGGTTTGTTAAAAAATATCATTGACAATTGATGTAGTATGAGGTCTATGGTTAAATGTGAATCTGAGACTAAATCATTGTTTAACATATTGTTAGAATTTATCCTCAAACTTATACGAGTAATTAACCTCCCGTAGGGCAATTTAAATTAATCGCAATCGAAAATGAAAATTTTTATATATCTTTACGTTTCAAAGATTTTTGAACATTTTGGTATACCTTAGAAAAAATTGATGTATGTGTCTGTGTGTGTGTGGATACAAATTTTCGTCGACGTATTTGAGAACACCAATGAACCGATTGGAATAATTCAAAAAACATTCGATTCGTATTGATAAAGAGACGTGCTGATTAGTTTTTGGCGAAAGTAGGTCTAGCCGTTCCGAAGATACGGGACAAAAAATGCCACAAACGGTAACACGATTTTTAAGAGAACGGATCGTTCGATTTTAATATTGACAAGATGAACTGCTTACATTTTTGGGAAGGCAGGTTCAGCGGTTATAGACTCTCAATAAAAATAAGTTAAAAAAATGTTATTTGGCGGTCAAAAATGCTTATTGGACATATGTGCATCAAATTATCAGATATTTTATAGAGATTTCAATGATGTGTACATATTTTGTGTAATTTTTTTTTTTTTGGTTTCTTGCCAAGATTTCTATTACGGTACGGGAAGTTCTAGCAATTTGCCTTAAGGCACGATGCCATGCGCTCCACTAGTTAACTTCCCGTAGGGTAAGTTATTGTAATCGTCCAAAAATCGAAATTGAAATTGTTTGCACTTCTCGACGTTTTGAAGGTTTCTGAACATTTTGGCATACCTTAGAAAAAATGAATGTGTGTGTATGTGTGTGTATGTGTGTGTATGTGTGTTCGGATACAAATTTTGGTCGACGTTTTCGGGAACACGGATGAAGCGATTTGAATAATTCAAAAAACATTCGATTTGTATTGACAACGAGACGTGTTGATTAGTTTTTGGCAAAGGCAGGTCTAGCCATTCCGAAGATACGGGGCAAAAAATGCCAAAAACGGTAACTCAGTTTTTAACAGAACGGAGCGTCCGATTTGAATATTCAAAAAACATTTTACTTGTATTAACAAGATAAAAAACTGATCTAATTTTCATGAAGGCAGGTCTAGCGGTCCGGAGATCTAGTAAAAAAAGTAAAAAAAAAATGCTATCTGGCGGTCAAACATGAATGATCATTAGACATATGCACATTAAATTATCAGATATTTTATAGAGATTTTAACAATGAGTATAAATTTTGTTTACATTTTTATGGGTTCCGTACCAATGCTTATCCGTTAGACGGCGGCGCGGCGCTTACGCGCTTCGATGCAATCGTCTCTATGCAGTTAAAGCACTACGATTGCTTTGAAAAAAAGTTCAGAATTTTCAAAATATTTCAAAATACACTTTTCTTCAAAAAGTCTTTTTTTTTAAAAAAAAGTTAATTTTTGTCAAAAATTGTCACAGTAAATTTTTTTCAAAAATGTTAATCTTTTAAAAAAATAATAATTTTTGGTAAGGAAAATTTCAGCAATTTGCCTTAAGGCTCGATGCCATGTGCTCCACTAGTTTCGTATATAAATAATATATTCTCTTATTCTAAACAATTCTTTTTTCCTAAGGTCAAGTCGAAAAAGTGCGCGACGAACAACGAAAATCTGGCGTCAGTCCTTACGAAGAACTGATTCAGCAAAGAGCAGAAGAGCAATATAACTGCTCCAGATCGTAAGATTAGGTAACGATAGATAAATTAATTATGTTAGAAAATTTTATAATGAAAATTTTATATATCTAATGCATATATTATCTAATGACCAAGTTTTATATGATATTTGATACACATTATATTATATATAGCTTGTAATTTACCTGCAAACCAATCATAACTCTTCCCATTATATAGGTTATATGTATCGATAGTTTTATTATATTTAGAAATATAGTTTATTGGAAGTTGTTTTATCAACATGGTTATAGCAATATCAAAATTATGCTAACAAAACGAACATTGAAATTTAGAAAAATTTTGATGTTTGCAAATGATGATTTTACAATGATGCAAAATTTTAATGATAACTAAGAGTTATGTAAAACGTGTTTAGAGCTATATTTGTTATATTAAATTTAGTTGTAGTCGTTTTTAATTATTTAGTGACTCATAGTCAGAGACAAATCTAACTAAAAATTGGCCAATGATAAATTCAGTTCATAAAATAGATTGGGATATAAATATATATATATATATATATATATATATATATATATATAAGAGATGAGTAACTCACACCGGAGTGAACAACTCCTCTCTCGGAGTGAATCCGAGTGGAGTTGTCTCACAGGATTTGTCATATCCGACTTCCCTAAACTGGTACTAAATCTGTTAACATGTGCAGATATTTGCTTGAGATTTTTTACTAATACAAAGAATTGGTTCGAAAGAGGTGGTTTTTCTCGTCTCACAGCTCAGTTTTAGGACTTTCCAGGTATATAATGTCTCAAAATAATGCTATTTTGTATTATATATTCTGTAAACGATGTTTGTCCGTAAATGAGCTCTTTCAACCAGGTATACAACCAGCTGAAAATATCTAGTATTATATTATAACTTTTACACAATTAAGATTTTATAATTGTGTAAAAGTAATAATATGCTAATCAAACTACCTGATGTATAATTAATTCTCGACAAGGAAATAATAAGAGAATGTGAGGTCTTATTATTTTGTGAAAAATATTATACACAAAGATTTGTTCATATTTCATATTATACATATTCAAAGAATTCTATATTTTCTTTTCAAAAATAATTACAAAATTGATCAAAATCAATCAATTTGAGATTTGTATGCATATTGAAATGCATAAAAAAGTAATTATTATGATAAAATGAACAAAGATGTATGAACTATTTGTGAACTATTTCTAAAGTCTTAATAAATTCTTATATATATTAACAACACACTAGAGAACACATTTGTGTCAAGTATTATGTTTCAAAGTTGTCGGAGTTGTGGAGTTAAGTGAATATGACTTCTCTCTGAAGTGGAGTCAAATCCTAACCGCTTCGGCTTCGGATATAATAAGCTCATGTCTAAATATATATATATATATATATATATATATATATTGTATATATTTATTTATTGATTTATTTATGCGCTTAACAACTCCGCGGCTCCGACAACTTTGAAACCGAAATACTCGACACAAATGTGTTTAATAGTGCGTTGTTCATGTATCTTCTGCCATTTCTATTCGAGAATAAATATTATATCGGGTAGTTCGATTAGCATATTATTACTTTTACATAATTATATAATTGTGTAAAAGCAACAATGTAATGCTAAATATTTTTGCTGCTTAAATACTATTGATATCACTGATAAATTTTGCACACTAAAGTATTGTTATTTCAGGCTATGGAAAAACCAGATTAAATGTATTTCGTTTCGTGTATTTTTCAGTATTGTATATTCCTGATTGCCGTCATAAAATATGACCCCTTACTATTCGATAAATTATACATTTCAGCTATGCACACTTTAATATAATTTCATTGTTGTGCATCCTTGAAGTAATAACTTTGTATTTTCTGGAAAATACACAATGGCATTATTTTGACTCGTATACCTGAAAGGTCATAAAATTGCCTGTGAGACAAAAAAGCGATCGCTTCCTTCCCAAAGCAAAGTAAATGCACAAATACCAGTTTAAAAAAGTCGGATATAACAAATTCACTCCGAGGGAGGTGTTGTATCGTAGTGATAACTCCGGAGTGAGTTGTCTATCTCTACATGTATTAGATATTAGAAAGAAAATCTAAATTCTCTTTCTGAAAAAAGAGTTCTAGTTTGACTCTTCCTCAGTGAAAAATACTACAAAAATACTTTGTTTAGCTATAGAACAGTTTATTGTGTTTACTATAAAAAATTTTTTTAAAAGGTCAATTCATCAGTTGGTTTTACACATCACTGATTAATGATTCTTGGTTATATTTGATTTTTCTTAAATTAAATACATAACTTCTTTTTCACAAATATTATTGTTAAGCAAGTCTTCTATTTATTTATTCCGTATTTCATTTTTTACATAATTGTGCATCATTAATTTTTTAAGATTAATTTTACCATACTGTATTAAATTTTAATGATTATTCTATAAATTTTATATATTTGCTATTACATTATCTCTATTATGTTTCGTCGTTTTTTCACGGTAAGGTAAGGTAAGGTCAACCTAGGACTTGCCAAGTATGGAAAACTAAAAAAAATATGAACAGAATTCAGATTATAATATTTAATCAAATGAAAATATTTCGGTATGTAACAATAATAAGGCTCATAAATAAACGTTTACATTTTGAATTACAAAATCAATGATTCATAATTAGTAAATGGCTCAGATTTTATTTATATACATACTTACTACTTTGCAAAGTTATATGGCTATAGAGTTTGGAATTTTATGATGCTATGGAAATAGGTAAATTTATAAAAGACGATTTCCATCTGTATAAAAGTATATTAAAATTTATTGATTACAGAACTATAGAAATGTCATTACATTTTGTTTTTATATAGATCTGTTCTTAGTACTATTAAGTTGCCATTTACGGTTATAAGTACTAAATTAAAAAATGCCCAAGAATCCTGTTTTAATCGATAATTTGTATGCATACAACTGTCTTATTAACGCTTTCGTTAGGTGCATGATGACATCCAGTGTGCCGAATTACCACTATTAAGAATTTTACTCTTTAGTTCTTTAGAAGCGTAATTATTAACTTCTAAATACATTTTAATGATGGTTAAAAGATTTTAAAATATTTTGTGCAACAAATACTTGGATGGCGTGCTGGCTCGTACAGCAGTTTTCTGCAAAAACACTGTCGAACTATATTAACGAAAGGGTTAATATACTTTTATATTTATTTTAAATATATCATTGTTAATTTTTTATAAATTTATTTTGAAAATTATATTTATATTTTAGGACCAAATACAATGGCAATTTTATTGTATAACATATCATAGAGTTTTAAAAATTATCTATCGATATAAGCAATAAATAAATGATTACATATTTGTTATATCTAATGTATTATTTTTGCATAATATTTTTATTAATTGAATCCATCTTTTACAGATAAAGTACATTTGTGGTGTGGCCTAGGTGGCATTCAATACACATGATGGTGCAATTGAAAATGTTTTATGCATATTTATAAATTCCTTATATCAAATCTTCAGATATGATTTCAATACGATCGTAATATCTAGATTGAAAATACTGATTTGATCTGTTTTAGATAAGTAATGATTTGATAGGTTAGTGATAGGTGATAAAAGTGATTTCATTCTTTGGTGATACTCTGGTGATTATTAACTTCCTGAAAAAGAAGTTCGGTTTTGCAAAAAACGTTACCTTTTTTCGACCTTTTCTCAAAAATAGCAGAACCGTTTGCAAAATTTTTAAAACCATTCGATAAAAGTCTACGGACTCGCGTTTGGTAGTTTTCGAAAAGAAATTTTCCTTAGTAGACAATAATGCATAGCACACATTCTGGGGTTCTAGTCTGATACCCCTAGGGGTCAAGAACTGTACAAATCTAATGAAAAAAAATTGTTAAGCCAATATCAACAGGCGAGCCTACTTATTGGCCAACAGATCTTAACCAAATTCCTGATCTAATAGATTTTTTCATAACTAAAGGCGTTAACGATAATTGTTTAGATATCAAATAAAGTTTAGATTTAAATTTCGATCACTCGTCAATTATTCTGCAATATTCTACAACTACAGTAATAAATTAACACCCATATTTTCTCACAATTAAATTTACATTATTCCAGGAGATAATTGATGATGAAATTTCTTGCAACATACCTATTAAAAATGAACAGGATTTAATCAGCAGCTCAAAAATACACTATATTTTCAAATGCAAGTTACAAAACTAATTATTCTATTAATATTAAAAAATTTATAGCCCAAAAACGCAAATTACGAAAAATATGGCAAACCACAAGATAACCTTAATAGAGAGAATTTTAAGCCTCTATTATGTGAATATAAGAACGAATGTCTTAAAAATTATTTAACTAATCTTTCGTCTAGTGAAGGAACTAATTATTCTCTTTGGAAGGCAACGAAGATTAGATTATTATTGAATTTAGATTCTTAACAATGGTATTTAAGTCAATTTTAAGGTTAAAAGTTTTACCTCAACCTTGGAAAATAGCAAAAATAATTCTTATACCTAAACCTGGGAAAGATCCTCATTTATTGTCTTCCTACAGACCGATAAGCCTACTTCCTTGCATTTCGAAGATATTTGAAAAATTAGTGCTCCAACACATTAAGTCAGAATTGTTGAATCAAAACTTAATTCCGAATCGCCAATTCCGCTCTAGAGATCAACTCAACCATACAACAGGTTCATCGTCTAGTAAATATAATAAACGAATCTTTACATGCAAAAAGGTATTGTTCGGCCGTATTTTTAGATATTGCACAAGCATTTGATAAGGACTGGCACTCTGGTTTGTTATACAAACTAAAACGTTGTTTAACGGAACCGCTCTTTTCAATAATAAAATCGTATGTTGAAAATAGAGAATTTTTTGTCAGCATAAACAATGAAGAGTTGACCAAATTAAGATCATCTCTGGTGTGCCCCAGGGAAGCGTCCTTTCAACAACTCTATTTTTTTTATTCACAGCGGATTTCCCTCTATACTCCGGAACAAAGCCAAAGTCGACATTTTCTGACGACACATGCATCATGGCCCCCAATTACGATCCCGTAAGAGCTTCTCAACTGTTACAAGAGCCTCTAGATATTGCTACAAAATGGCTTTCTTTATGGAGAA